TTCCAAATACTTAAACACAAAGATAAATGAATTATTCTTTTTCCTCTTTGTATTTAGGCATATCTAAATAGAACCTTTGTAAACCAAGAGACACACTGGAGTTTTTCCTGCGTCAAACCTCTTCCATCGTCTAGTATCTCATACAAAACTTTTTTTATGTGGAAACGCAAAATACTTGGTAGGAATTTGGTAAGTCACGCAAAGCATCGTAACGTATTCATCCCGGTATAATTCGCATTACATAATCGACCGCGGATTTCGCACGCGATTACGCGAATAATTGTTCGAGCCTTGAGCACGCCCCGATCTCTTTTCGTTAAACATGGGTAGTTACATACGCTATAATTTAGCAATTTGATTTCCGCGGTAAACGACGACGATGCCGCCCGACGAGCAGTCGTAATTGTCGATAAGCGTCGTTACAAAAATAAATTGGATCTCTATTGGGCGTGGAAATCAATATTTCTGTCTTTTCGCGACCTTAAAGGTTGCGACGTTTAACTATTGACTCCGTCACGTTTCACAGGAAGGAGCGGTAAAAGTGACGAATTCCTAATATCGATTGCCATTCATTGCAACATGCGTGAGCAAAATGCTGTTCATCTCTGAATCTCGGTGAATCATAATCAATGACATTGTTCTCCTGGGCCATTATTAGGCGACTCGTAACGATCGTGCATTCGCGCGATCTTGCTGTGTAATGACGTTACTGACGACACGACACTGAAAAGTAGAGCGCATCGGTGAGAAGATGATGACATGATAAAAATGCAGACATGAATGAGAAATTAATTAGAAAAGCAAGAATAACTTTTCGCAGGAGTCACGATTTGTGTAAGGACTTCGATACCATCGTCACAAGCGTGATTAGACTCGCATTCCTTTCGCGAATATTCGTTTTGTTAGGACTAACACTTTCACTCGTATATCTTGCACGTCGCAAATTTTTCGGCTGCAATTACTGTAAGTTAGCATTGTCATAAGCGCGAGGAGACTTGCTTCGTGAGAAACGATAAATTCTCGAATTCAATTATCGCATTTTACGTAAAAAATGAAGGACAAGAAAATTCTTTCGATCGAAAAATCTGTCGTAAAGAATCTTTTTATTGTAAACAGTTAAATAGAAATTTAGAATTTAATTCGGTAACTTTCGAAAAAAATGCGAAAAAAAATCTTTTAATAAAATCTCCTTTGTGAAAATTCTCTCTTTTTTTCCGTTTTGAAAGTTCGAATGGATGGCGAAAAAGTACATCACATTTTATAAAGATTTAATTACGGGCTATATTATTATTTTCGATTGCATCATATAGATATTATCGATATAATGCTGCTATATACCTTTTATGAGTCAATTTAGCTTTTAGTTAATTCACGGATGAAAGCTCACGCTGCAAGTTAGATTATTATCGTTATCATCAATTTACCTTATAGCCGATCATCTCAAATTACTATAAATGCAGTACAACATTTTCATCGCTTTTGATCGCTTCGCTCGATTCGCGTCGTACGTAGCACAGGACGCACGCATTTGATGCGCGCGAAAACTGCACTTGAGCGATCTTCGTGCCAATTGTTATTATTACGAATAAAGCAAAAAAAATCCATGTTCCTGGTAGGATTATCGATCTCTCGAACCGAAGAACTCAAGCCTGAATTAAAAGACTCAGACAACTTTCGGAAAGTTTTCTTGTAGCCTCGGTTCGAAATTGGTCTGACCTGTGTCCGTTTTCTTAGAAATTCTTATACCGGGTTTGCCCTTTAAAAGAGGCGATCCTTTCTGAAAGCCTCGACAGGTCGATCAGCTTAGATCATCTGCAGTTTCGCAGATGATGATCACGCTGACCTGCTCACGTTTTCCATTACGGGCTCCACCGCTCCACGTGGAACAGATGCACGCGGCGTAAACGTCGCAAATCATGCTCACACATTAACAATCGACTAATTATTGGAAAGTATTGTACAATTCGGCATTTCTTACAAGGAGAAAAAAATGTGACATTTCCTTGGGGAAATTCATGTTTGGGCGTCACACAGAAATTAGGTCTCGCTCTCCGCTTTATTTAATTCTCGCTATAATTGCGTTATGAAACGGAAAAGGCGGAAGAGTTGCGGAAAAGAAGAGATAATTTCTTTAAAGTCTTCAGTGATTGAGATAAAAATTTCTTCTATAAACTTTGAAGCGTATTGTGAAGAGGTTTTTTTTTTTTAGAAAAATTCACACTGCCAAAGTGCCAAGTAAACATAAAATATAATAAAAAAATAAATACATATATTAGAATACATATAAAACATGAAATATTTTATATAAATACAAACTCTATAATTTAGCGTTATTTACTGAAAAATACAAGTTTTGAAATTACAAGCCAGTTGCCTGCAACGTTTTTCATATACTATATCAAGTGATAAACATAAAGCTACAAAATAGAGAGAAATATTTGTATAAATACGGAAAACGACGGTTGCACTTTTAATATATAGATCACAAGAACTCTAAAGATTTTATTAAACGCATTGCATAAGATGCCACCGAAAATGCAGGGCTTCTCATTTACATTCAAGTATATATTGAATCATGGTATACCGTATTTCCTATCGCCTTTGTTCACAATTCCATTGTCTCTTTCTTTATCGTTCGCTCTATGAACCTTCCACGCGTATTTGCGTAAGAACCAAACGAGTGTAATGGCGTTCTTGTGTTGAATGCTGTACGCTTGACAATGTAATCAGATCTGCGAAAAGGCCTATTGGTCCTTTATACATGGACGGTCTTTGTCGCAAATAAATCTAATTTCCGACATCTTGCAATATACTACAGAACAAAAACGCACACGCGTAAGTAGAAATTATTGCACTGGACGTTTAATAGTGCCATCAAGTTAGAAAAAAAATGCAGATTTTTTTGATGAATTTGGATTTGACGTAGAGCTTTCGCGCGATGGGCCATCATTCCTTTTCGTAATATTTTAATATTTGATATCAAATATTGGTATAAAGCAATATATATAAAATTATGGCACATATGAATGTTTATTTAAAAAAATGATAATCAGATATAGTTGTTTTTCCATTGCAGATACATTTTTAAATTTATGCGCTCGTATATATTCAATTTATCTATTTATTGAAAAAATTAAGTACTGATATTTCATTTAGTTTACATAAATAAATGTTGTTAATAAATCAAAAAGAGATTTTTTTATTTCTAGGTATTTAAATATAATACAGCAAACATGCATAACATAAGCATTTAATCAGTAAAAAAACTTTATTTAATCAACTGATAACGTAATGCAAATAATTTAATAAAATTTAGATGCAATTTTACAAACTGTAGCTACTTTGTGGATAATATTATTTAGAATTTGCATTTAAATATGACGATGTTCTAAATTTCGTATATAATTCAGTTACATGTTTATTGTAATTTCAATTTGAATGAAAATTTAATTATTAATTAATATGAAAGAAATTATTTAAATTTAACATTCTTCACGATTTATTGAGGATTTTTATGCTACTTTCTTAAGTTACTTTAGTCAGAACAACTTTATAACAAAAAATAATCGCAAACTCTTTTCCTAACATAAATCGGCGACTGATAAGCCATAATACATATATTTAGGATTTATCGTATCGAAAGTTTCTTCCCGGTCTGTTGCCATGTCCCAAAGACTTTTCACACGAACGACCAGGAGATTCTACATTCGTTTGAGACATCATGTAACATGTACTATCGGGATCATATAATATATAGCGACTGAATTTATTTCCACCGATGAGCATCGTCACGTTCTACGAAATCTAAAAATATGGAAGAAAGGAATATTCCAAAGAAAGGAAGAAAGAAAAAGGAGATAGGGGAAGAAGGGGAGGAAATATCATACTGAGATAAATGGTACTTTCTCTCTCAGCGAGAGATAAATTGCATCTTTTTTTGACAATTTTTATCATTTTTCGCAAATTGGTCTCAGTGACTTTTTTGAAGAAAACATTGATATTAACTATCTAATCGGAGTACTACATTGAGAAAAATGTCTCGATTGGATTAATTGGAATTCTGATTAATGGATGAGAATTAGAATTTCCTTATAGTTAAATTTACTAAAATTTTAGTTGGGATAACTGAAAAGATTCTCACTGATATTAGAATCTTTGATTCATTTATTTTCAACTAGATATTTTTCTCAGTATATCTATTTATTTTAACAAGAAAGAATAAAGTATTATTATTAAAAGTAATACTTTATTATTATATATTATTTCTCATTATTACTTATAGTAAAGATACTAACCGATCACAGAGCTACTTTATCGTTTCTCGTATATGTATTTTTTTTATTATAAATACTTTTTATTGTAAATATGATCTTTCTTAATGATGCATTGTTAAAAATACAAAATTGAATTTACACTTTAAAGATATTATTCGTAAATAATATGTATAATAATATTCGGATTTATCATTTTTTTTATTCATAATAGCTAATAATTTACCTCATCTAGATTGCGTGTAAGGAACATACCAATAACTAGTTATCCTTCACTTAATTTCCTTCATCTATTAAAAAAAAAGAGTTACAGTTATTCGATTGTGTATTATTCTGTCGAACATTTACCTCATAGAATAAAGATTACACATTAAGATTCTACCTATCAGAAGTTACATTTTCAATTATCTAACACATTTTAATAATATTTATATAACATTTATAATAATTATACTTGGATAAATATATAATTAAAATATATAGGTCTTCAAAGACATTGATTATCTTATTATAAAATATATAAATAATTTATATATCTGTTTAGATATAATATTAAAATTGTCTTTTATTAAGCTTTGCTAATTATTTAGCTCAAGACTTTTATGGAGATTTTATTCTTTCACATTAATACATTGAGAAATTTAAAAATCATTCAGGAATTAAAAAAATAGTATACGTTAATACTCCGTTAACAGTAATATTAATGCAGGATCTGCTCTCTTATTTCAGGTCCCGAAGGCGTAGCGGTAGTGGCGTGACAGACATACATTCTCAGCAACAACAGCAGCAATTGCAGTTGCAAGAGAACAACAATTCGCGCGAACAACAACTCGTGCGAACAACAAGCTCGCGCGACGCGAAGAAGCCGCAGGAGGGACTGGGGCCCGATGAGATGTGGGCCCCTGGCGCCCTGGGCCATCATCGGGAGCTACCTGTTGATGTGCCCGACACCCTTCTACAGAAGGCCTATCCCAACAAGGTAAAAAACTGCTCTTCCGATTATAGGAACGGGCTACAGCATCGTCCCCGTAGCGCTAGCGACCTCGATCTCTCCCTAAACCTTAAAAACGAAACCCTTAAGACGCGCACCATCGCGGACGGACGCGCTAGACTCGTATCGAACGATCACACGCACGACGTCACCGACGCAGCCAGGACAATTAACGTCCACAACGGTCTTCAGCCATCCATGCTGAAGATCGAGCTGAATATCGAGGACGAGGAGGAGAAAGTGAAAGCTACCAAGAAGAATTTGGGGTTCGACAAATATCGCGATAGCCCGATCGCGACCGGCTCGCCGGATTTGAAAAGTACCTTTAAAGTTTTCGAAGTATACGCGAACGTTGACGAGGACGCAGGTGGACAAAAGGAGTCCAGCGTTGATATTGAAGACGACTATCCTTTTGCCAAGGAGGATTATCCCACCATGCTAAAAACATGTAGTGACGATTCCGCGAGTCCAAGAAGTTCATCGGGTAGATCAGACAGTACCGCACCCCTTGATACCAGTCTAATGCTCAGGCATAGTAAAAGCCATAAAGACTCGCCAACTTATGACGTACGAAGGATAGACCTTGGTTCTCCTTGTAGATCGGTAGTACCCGATATCAAGGTGGCTCCACTCTTTGGTCGAACCCGAGACGCGACTTCCTTTGACAATCCGGCTTATGGATTAACGGACTTGCAGGATCTTCAGGGGCTACTGCGATCCGACGAAATGTCAGACTTAACCAGACTGATTGATGAACAATCTTCAATTCCAAGAACTCCGCAAGACCAAGATAAAGTCTCGCCTGTCCGTGTCAAGGATCAGCAGATGGAATCTTCTCAAACCGAGCCAGTAAGCAAGTCCAGCAAAAGTCCGACGAAACGTCGTTCAAATGACGAGCGAGTTAAATTGAAGACAAAAACTCGCAGTCTCGATATCGAGGAATTGATTCGGACTGGCTCGACCGATGATCTTCTCGGCATTGAATTAAGCAATCTCTCCTCCTCCTCCTCCTCGTCCCGGCAGCGGACAAAAAAGAAGCGACATCAGCAGATCTCCAGCGGCTATTCCACACTGAGGAGCGAGGCCTCTGGCGATCTCGAGCATAACACGGACCGCAGCTTCCTCGTGGTGGGCAGAAAGCCTTACCGCGAGGTAGCCGTCGATTGTCCACCGGATTTCGTGCCGGTCACCAAGTGCCATCCGATATACCCGCCACCGAATAAGACCCCCGGCAACAGCAAGCACAACACCCTCGAGCCAAAGCGCGATCGCGCGAGTGTCATTAACGAGGCGAGTTCGTGCGCTGCGACAACGACGATGACCATGACGACAACCACGCTCGTAGCCTCCCCTCGCCTCTCCTTGAACGATAATAGCTTCACGACGCTGTCTAGTGCCGACAGTAGCGCTAAAGAGACCGTGGTCGCGCGCTCGGTAGACCATAAGCACAGCTTGAAGAAGGTAAGGTCCAAAGTCAAGAGCTTAATATGCGACAGCTTGCAGTCTATCCTGCACCACCAGCATGGTGATTCGCTTAACGCTTACAGCACGCAATACCCTAACTCACTAATGCAGACTCATCCTAACGATCCTGTTCTGCAATCGTTCGTCATGAACATTGAAAATCCCAACGAGTTCTCGCAAATACGAAGCTCCTTCAACGAACGAGATGAGAATCTCTTTCAAAATCGACAAATCGAGAATTCCTGTTTTGAGGATGATTACCACGACGTTTTCTTACGAGGAAAATTCTCCCGTGAGAGCGGAGAACGTTCATTATCCTCCATTTTTCCAGAAGAGTTTCCCAAAAATTCGCAAAATTCTTTCCTCGAAGAAGCTGATAATAATAAAATGATCTCTTCTTCTTCCCCAACTAGCGATTCTATATACTTGAGTGTCTTTTCTACTTTTAAAAACAAAGTCGTGAGCTCTTCTAAAGAAGAACTCCTTGGTTTCAAGAAGGAAACCGAGGAGAATAACTTCTCCGATTGTCCGAACGAGATTAGCTTGTTACCAGAGAAAAATATCTCGTTTTTTAAAGTCAGAGATAACATTCATGTCCAATCTATCCAAGAGACGAATCAGAATTCTCGGAATTCCCTGCGTAAACTCTCCTCTGCGGAGCAACGCATTGTGAGCCGTTTATTCGACGACACGCGACATTCTAATGATTGTCAATCACAAGAAAAGGAGCGATGTGACAGCGTTCACTGTCTCGATGATTCGCCGAGTACACAGAATCAAAAAAATTCAAGGCTATTTTTTAAATACGAATGTTTCAAGTTGGACGTTCCATCTATGCTTCCTAACAATGGCGTGAAATTTCGCGTTAGTTGGAGAAGCATGTCTGACCTTCCAAATTTAATGGCCGATTGGCATTCGACGATAACAAGGAGAGCCTTTTCGCTCTCTGACTTTGTTTTAATATCGAAAATCACGTCATCACCCATCGTCGGATGGGATAAAGTTAATCACTCGACAGTTTTATACCACGAATTTTCTGATGAACGTATGAAGCAGAACATACCAAAATCACCGATGCGCACTATGAAGAACCATTCGCTCAAGTCGCACGTCGACGTTCTCGAACAGCAGGTAAACCACAATGGACTTCTCGAGTTTAGAAACTTTCGTTCGTCGAATAATTCGAATGGCGTCCTTGCACTTTAGAAATTTGCACGCCTTGCAAAGTAACTTCGTGGTTGATTGTCTCTTGAATTACCTGATTAAATTCATCGTCATTCTAGTTGTATTTCTCGATGCTAAAGGTCGTGATCTGTCTGTAAAAGAGATACTCTCAGAAACTATAGAACAGTAATTTCTCCTTGCCTTTTGCACGTGTTATGATCGTGGAAACTGTTACAGTCGCGCTCACAACTTTTCAATATTTCCACACCGGCTGCTGTCTGGGAGG